GGTGCGGATGTGGGTGCGGATGTGGGTGTGGGTGTGGGTGTGGGTTTAGATCAAATCAACACCCACACCCTACATGTTCATACTAAGTTTAGATTTCCTACTTGTATTTCAGAGCTTTTGGAAAACATGAGTGATCACTAGTGATATTTTCGCGAATAATTAGTGTTTTTTTTCTAATATTTTTGGTCAAATTTTCATCTGGGTTTGATCTACCCCACAGGCAATGATAGATATTTCGATATGCTGCAAATAGTTCGTTTAAGATATATTGACCCATTTGATAACATAAGCTAGCCTAAGGTGATTCGGTATTATTCTATGTCTTAACGTGTAAGACCCGAATTGAAAGTAAGTATTTACAATTTGACATCGGCGAAACTACTGATGTCTCGCCTTGAGAACATTCTTGAATCAAACAATGTTATAAAACGATCAACATTGAAGACAATTAAAGAGTATCTCGATATTCAACAGCGATTTTTTGAGAAAGTTGAAAGTGTTTTTCAGCAATTACGTACAATAGAAAGTGTTGCTAATATATTTCTCAATGATGAACTTAGAACACTTTTGAATGAATTTAAACCAATGGAAAAAGTTCATTTGACTATTTGTGGTTATAATTCGGTTGGAAAGACAACATTTGCCAATGAATTTCTGAAATGTGGCAATTTTTTACTGACAGGGATTGATGCAATATCGGCACTTATTATCAAATTCTCTTATGCTACTGCTAATGAAGCATGTGTAATTAAGTATCAATGAGACTATAATCCAAATGTATTCGAAGAAAAAATTGATCTTTCATTTTACTTCGTTAATCCAACGAATAAAGCTAATTTTAGAGCGCTAAAGGAAATTGTCAAAAGATATGTTGCACAACCAGAAATTGGCAAGATGTCTGATGAATTTGCCAGATGGGCTTCTCAAATGATTGAAATTCGCGTTCCATCACGTGTTCTCCAACTTGGTATTGATATTTATGATTCACCTGGCTTTTTAGGTGAAGATCCACCAATTCTTGCTGAAAATCTACTAAAACTAATCTCTTCAGTACGTCCATCACTTATCTATCTATTTGATAATCCAACTGTATCTGATGATTCTCGAAAATGTTTCGAATAACTTCAATTGGCACTTTCTCATCATTTTTGTCGTACTAATATTTTCTTTCTTAATACAAAAGACGATATATTAACTATTCTAAAAGATAATGAAGATGGGGATATTGAAGATGAAGATCAACTATTGAATAATGAACGAGAAAAACGATACAATCTATTAATCAATGTCACCGAAATTAGTAGTACTTTTTTGAATGGACAACATGTTCTATTCGATCAATGCAATTGTTTCGATATATTCAGTTCACAAGGTTCAACTGATAGGATGGAAGATAAAATGAAACAACATGCTTTTGATAATATTGTTCGTTTTGCTGCTGAACAAGATTTACATAGTACAAAACAAGTTATTTGTATTGTATTGGATTTAATCGATGATTTTTTTAAATTTTATTCTTATTACTAATCGATGATCGGCAAATGAATGGAAGAAAATGCATGAACATGCTCTTCAATGTATTAATGAATATTTTGTCGCATATCAATTACAATTAGAGGAAATTGTTAAAGAAGTAGAAATTTGTTTACCAAACAAATTGTGTGAACATTGTGATGAGATTGAAAAACGTTCTTTGGCACATTGTAAAACATCATGGTGGAAAAAATGCTATGATGCTGCAGTTCAAAATGATTTTCCTGGTTTTCTATCATCAACTGCTGCCTTTGAATATATTAATATAGCTGTAGAAAATGAAATAATAAAGCCGATCTTAAATGAGACGATATTAAAAAAAAAGTAAAAATGCCAAAGACAATGTCGATCACACAAAGACAACATCACAAAGTACGAAAAATGAATTATTGATGGCAGCATATCGAAAAGTAATGATGAATAATGAAAATTATGGTTCATTTTATTCTCGATCTTTATGTGAAAGAGGAAAAAAAACTGCATTAACTGTTGTGTCACCATCTGTTCTCCTTAGTGGATTACTGAATAGTGTATTTAAAAAAAAACTATCAAAAAATAGTGCCGGTTCCAGAATTCAAAAAATCGAAGAAAAACGAAGAACAGATATACATGAATATCTTCTTGATCTACAAGCAAATTTACCAGAAATTAATCAAAAAATTAAAAAAAGTTTTCAAAAATGGTTGAAGAAAAATCAGAAGGTATTTATTAGCAAAGTTAACAGTTATCATTCATTTGCAGTTCAAACGCTCGATCAACCCTACGTAGCCTATAAACTTGCTCGTGAATTTGCTCCTCTTTTTGCTCAAATTGAATGTTGTCTAGTGTCAAATCTTGACTTGGCTCAACATTACGGTCAACCACTTACTATTGAACGAGATACTGCGCTCGATACATGTGGCTTTTTCACTATTTATCCAGCTTCGTGGGATTCAGAACAAAACTTGGTTGTTAAAGAACTTAAAAATCCAAGTCATGATAGAAATATTGCCTACTTAGAAACACATTTCCATCGCACAGTTACTCATCTTCAAATTCAACATTTGGTTCCTCTCATCTATCTTTACGAGACAGTGAAAGATCCACAACAATTCGCAATTGTTTTGAAACGTTATTCAAAAAGTCTTTATTCTTATCTAATGGACCATATAAATGAAGTAACAATTGGCAAAGCTATTCAAATTGCACTTGATATTGCTCAAGTTATTGTTCATATGCATGCCTATGAACTTGTGCATTGCGATGTCAAAGTTAAGAATATTTTGCTCGATACAAATGATCAGGTTTTTCTGGCCGATTTCGGTACTTGTCAACACGGAACAGAAAATTCGACTTTCATTGGATCTCGACCATTCGCTCCTGAAATCACTCAAAGTGATCGTCAATATTCGTATCAAGGAGCCGCTGTTGATGTTTCCTGTCTTGGTGTTCTTATGTATGTTGTTGCTCCCAAAGATGTTTTTCATGAACCTCAGACTCTGACCGAAATCGATATCAATACACTTGATTGAACTCGTGTACCTGACAGCTATTGTCGTTTGATAGTTCGTTGTATTAGTACAGAAGCGACAGAAAGACCTACTACAAACAAAATCATCGAAGAACTCAATAAAATCGCCGATCAAATTGTTAATTCGAAACTGTGTCTTGTCTGTTGGAACACTCCACGTACTGCCCGATGTTTACCTTGTCAACACAAGACTATGTGTACAACATGTCTGACCGCCGCGCAACGAGTTAGTGAAGAGCCACAATGCATTATTTGCAGAGAAATATTTTCTGGCTTCGAAGAGAATACAGATCAGAACACTTTCATAGCTGTTACAAGTCCACCGACTATTTCTCAATGAATGTTAACTTTTGATGATCTTCTTTATGAATATCTATATTCATGAAACTTTTATTCATAAACGGTGTTGTTTATTATCAGACAAGAGTTATACAGGATGTCCAAAAATTCATGATCACTTAAGAAAATAGAATATCTCCACCCCGCTACAGTCTGAAGAGCTGAAATTTTGCCTGATGATAGAGATATACTTAATGTTTTTATGGCTACGAGTGCAGCTTACAAATAATGTTCAAAGGTATCATATTTGTTCAAAATACAAAAGTTTAAACTTTTTCGTTTTTCCAAAAAAAAGTCTTATTTTTTATATCATTTCATTTTGCGTGATATTTTTAGTTTTTCAGTTTTTGACGTCATGAACTGCCATTCCAATGATTTGTTCGAGAGACTCTAACGGAAAGAAGTCCATTGAGGTCAGGTTCGGTAAAACAAGCAAAAAATCATTAGGACAGCGGTGCATGAGGTCAATAACTGAAAAACTAAAAATATCACAAAAAAATTGAAATAATTTAAAAAATAAGATTTTTTTTTTTGGAAAAACGAAAAAGTTTAAAGTTTTGTATTTTGATCAAATATGATACTTTTGAACATTATTTGTAAGCGTCATTCGTAGCCATAAAAACATTAACCCTTTCCGGCCGGATGTTGCCATTTGGCAACATTCAGTCAATATTTCTAGGATGGCTTGCTTATAGTAAAGATATAAAACTTTTTAACTATTCGATAATTATTACAGTACATTTCAGCATAAACTGACGGTTTCCAATACAAAAGGGAGCTTTCCGTTGAGAACATAGCCGAATTTATCTACAATATCAAATAGAAGCCGTTCATCCGTAAAATACATTTTCCTGCAGATTGACTGATTCAATACTAGAAATCATTAGCTGTAAATTTTGCTGCTTAGATCTATTGCATATTGCATTAATAAAAAGGATTGTTCAGTAAATCCGAACAATGAAAACTATAGATGTTGCCATTTGGCAACAGCCGGCCGTAATGGGTCAAAAAATTGAAAAATTTTTTTTTCGATTTCGATTATCAAAATGCACTATTGTATGTCTTTTCGTTTGTTCAAAACGATTTTAGAAGAAAATATGACTCAAAACATGCATAGAATGCTTTCCACAGCTTTTTTCAAATTTAAATCTAGTTTTTAGTGGCAAAATTCAAGTTTGCTAGCCTTCAGAGTGTAATAACCGAACAAGAATAGGTGCATCGTGAGTTAAATGTAGACGTTGGTGTAGGTCTTTCATTTATTTACACACACATTCATATTCAAACCAATTATTGTTTTCTATGTCCTTTTTGGAGAACTGCAAGTCTCATGCACTGGAGTTTTGTCACTAAAAACGAAATTTAAATTTTGAAAAAGCTGCATGGAGACACTCTATCTATGTTTGAGTAATTGTTTTCATGTTTAAGTGTTTTTAATAAACGAAGAGGTACTGAATAATGCATTTTTATAATCGAAATCGAAAAAAAATTTTTCAACTAATTTGACCTGTTACGGCCGGGTGTTGCCAAATGGCAACATGTAGCCGTTGGATACAAAAGAAATTTTTTTATTCTGAAAAATATATTTTTGGTATCACTGTGGTGGAGCAACAAAAAATATGCAGGACAATATTTTCTTGTTGTCTGTCTTCTGGGAGCCGGCTGGAAAGGGTTAAGTATCTCTCTATCATCAGGCAAAATTTCAGCTCTTCAGACTGTAGTGGGGTGGAGATATTCCATTTTCTTAAGTAATCATGAACTTTGGGATACCTTGCAAAATTTATTCATATTAATATAAAATAAAACCTTCTATTCACATAGCATCATTGCATCATTTACAGACAGAACAACTACAGTAGTTCAAATCGATTAAGATGTTCATCATCATTCTTAAATATCAAGAAGCCTCATATACCTATTCAAAGTGAATAACACCTGTTGATTCGAAAACGAACGTGTCGCATTAACATGTGCAGTCCTAGTCACTTTTTTTCTTTAAAAAAGGAGGACATTTGGAAAAATGCATGCAATAATCGAAATCAAATATCACCGCATAGTCAATAAGAATTCTTGCCATTTATTCGACTTGTATTTGGTAATTTCGACGGTAGCCTGAGGGTGGATGAGGGTGAGGAAGAGACACTCGCCCTCATTCACTCCTCCTCATCCTCAATTTACCATTTGTCTGTGCAGAGATATTCGCAAAACAAACTATGTTATAAACATTTTGGAGCCCTCGGGATTTCGGAGTGTCTAATATTTTGACTATAACACCGTCATTTCTCAATGAAACTCTATATGTTTTTTAACCAAAATGATCAGCGAAAAAAGCTCGACAAAGTCTGATAGAATAAAAAGTTTTATGAACATTGTGTGTTTTTTGTGCTTGATTGCCCATGAATGTATCGTACAACCAAAATATCATTTTGCGGATTTTTATCTCATTTTTTTCTTAGCACTGAAGTTTGATTTTTTTATTGTATTTTATATTTAAGGATTTTTCATATTAAATAGGTGTATATATATATAGTACTTGACCTCTACTATATAGACATGTAATGAAATGAAATTAATGTTGTGTAGTTTTAATACATGACTCAAAACAAAAAAGTGGAGAAATATTTTTGACGCCGACTGTAGTTCTCACGTCTGACAATGATGTGATATCGAAAAGCAGCATCAAAATACCACTCATCATTAGCAACATCATACATCATTCATATTTTTGGTGTATCTAGTTTTTTCTCTTGAATCTAATCGAGCGAACAAAACACCTTGACATTCGTCTCTTTCATTTTCTGTTTTATTATTTATTTTGTTTTTGCTTCGAAAAAGTTGAAAAAGCAATGCACATGGTCCTTTACATCATTCATATTTTTCTTTCTTTTCAATCACTCTATAAGCGAGGAGAATAAGAATATTAAATGTTTTTTCTCCATGTTACTGCGCGCAGTAGAATAAGTCAGGCGTAACTCACATTCATTCTCTCGCTAGTAGATATACGTTGAGGAAGAAAAGGGACGACAAAAAAAACATTACTCTGTACGTGAAATTTTCGAAGACCATTGAAGAAACGACTATCCTGGAAAATGGACAAGCTTATGAAACAACTGCCAACTATGCCAGCGGCGAATCTTCTCCCGGTAGCTGGTAATCAAGTTAGTGATTTTTATTTGGCATGTCGAAATGGTGATATCAATGCTGTCAAACGAATGCTATGTGATAAAAAGCGCGTGAATATCAACCGTATGGAACCCAATGGAAGTACTGCTCTTCATGCAGCTTCCTACTTTGGTCAGGCTGATATTGTAGAACTTCTATTGAAAGAAAAAGATATTATTCTATCACAAAAGAATATTTACGGCTTTACAGCCTACCAAGAGACAACTAATGATAAGATTCGCCAAATATTTGATCGGTTCAATCGCGAACATTTGTGGGATCAATAGACAGGTTCATATCAGTGAAAGTAAATTGTTAATGCTATCATAGAGTGAGAAATAAAATATAATAAAGCTTATGATAATATCCTTAATGACTATTCATAGTGTGTATTAGAGTTGCCACCTCATCAGATCTCGAATGGGGCACATAAATTTTTTTAAATTCAATAATGCTTCTTATCCTTTGATCTCTTTCTTGTTGACATTGTTGTAGTAGTGATGAGTCTTGGTTATGTCTTTGTCCTCGATGAGAGAGGATTCTTTTGGTTTTTTGGGGATTTTTCTGTTCTCGTTGTAGGTTTTCACTATTTCTTCAGGGATGAGTGAGTTTAGCAATGATACACAAAACGGTGCTCTTCCTTAATTTCCACGCTTTCATCGACCTATAATATCGTTATGATGAATCATGTATAGGTCTAAAACGAGGAAATCCAACTTGTATTATGACTATTGTTTTTCGTCGTACTGGAACTGTCATCGGTTGTATTCCAGTTCTTCTTCCATATCGAATTGTTTTAATTCGTTCGTATGTTTACTGGTCTCGTTAGTTATATATTAGATTTACGTGAAGTTATAAGTTATTTCTCAGAATGTAAGAGAAGTAAAAAAATTATACATTTTGATATTTTGTTGGATCAATAGCATGGTTGTAAAGATTCGTTTTGACCAATACAATCAAGTGTTACTGATGTATTGTTACTAAGATATAGCTCATAGATATAGATATTATCCAAATGTAATAAAACAATAGAATTCCAACAAGTGGTCTTGTTATTTGGAGCTATCCGAAGTCGTTAATTTCATCACTTGTTGAGTCAAATTTTTCCCATAAATAATGCACCTAATTTGATTATTTTCGTGTTTGTTAGGACCTGACATCTATACTTTACACATATATGTTCGTTCTTGTTGTTGCTGTCTCTCTCTCTCTCGCTCGCTCTTAATTGTTGATTAATTGATTCATTCGTATCGTTTTTTGGTTTTCTTCTTCTTCTCGAAAACGAGGATATACGAATAAACCTGGTGAAAAATCCAGATCCTAACAATGTTGAATGGTCAAAATTTCGGTGATCGTTCCTAACGATATGAAACCATAAGGAGTCGCTATGCAAATAATTGATGATTTTTCATTTCGACTTGGCGTTTCTATCATGGCATATGACACATGCGTAGGTTGCGAATGTGTAACGTTTAACTATTCTTTATTAAACTATTTGCATGACATCTTATCGAAAGAAGTACCAAGTGGCTAACGAAATCCCATATCTCTTGAATAAACGGGAAAGCAAGACTGAAAGTGTGCCAAGCTACCATAATACAAGAAAAAGAGTAGGTGAAAGTGAGCGAGGAATATTATAATGTCATCCACACGCACGCACATTCTCGCTCGCATATACTTTCAAAGATAAGAAGGTAAGAACGAAATGCTGCCGTGTAGTCTTGTAAGCACAGAAGAAAAGGACTGTCTTTTCAAATAAATAAAAAGTGAAAATATAGTGAGAAGATGTGATACATGTTTAAAAAAATCCGAATGACGAGTAGTAAGATCGCACTTTAAAAGAAACAAATAATAGAACACGCTCAACATTTATGCGCATCGGTATAAGTAAATGTGTGTGTATTATATTCATCTCATATCCACACTCACCATTTTAGCCCTTTGTTAGTTTTATCAAGAGCTCTCTGTGGACCAAATATCAGCTCAAAAGGCAGATGTCACTTCAGGTAGTTTTCTCGTAAATAGAAAAGAAGGGTGTGGGTGTGGGTGTGGGTGTGAGTGTTGATAGCCGAAAAGACATCCACACTCACACTCACACCCACACCCACACCCCACACCCGCACCCACCCACACCCACACCCTCGACTTTGTTAAATGGAAGAGAGAAAGTCGACAGTTACTTTCAGAATGTATTTTTGCCAAGAAATACAAAGATTATCTACTTTTCTCAATTCAATCATCATCAAAGAATCTTATTGATTCGAGTCTATGAACCTCGTCTGATGCTGTTTGTTTCAAGAAAATCAATATCTATCGCAGTTCTTCGTGATTCAACTGAGGGTGAAGTTAGCGTTGATGTCACTCATTTTTTGCGGTCATATGTTCATTCTATGTCAAGCAGAAATGAATCTGCTAATCGGTGCAGACACTTTGATGAGTTCGGCACAAAATTTTCTGCCGAATGAATGCAATTATGACGTAGCTTTTTCTCTTACAAGGTCTTCCATTGTTTGTCAGACGGTCGAAAAGATAATAGCCGTCCGTCATTTAGAAAGAATCAGCCGTCAGAAGGTCATCCATTGATGTGTATATATGCGTGCTTGACAAGTCAATAGACGAAAAAAAAATGGATCGATTATCCCACGAGTTGCTACACCGCATCTTTCACTACATTAACCAACTGCCAGATCTTATTCGAGCCTCCTTTGTTTGTCATCATTGGCGATCGTGTATTATGAACGATGAATATTTTCTCAACAAATGGTTTCATCGATCATTGAAGTGCTCTCAACAATCACCTCGGAGCAATCCAACAACTAACAACAATGACATTCGACAAAAACTAACAAGAAAGATCGATCGATCTCTATTTCCTATAAATTTACAATCGAGCGAATGTTATCTTCTACCGATGATTGATCCATTTCATACTGCTGGTTTTCAACATTTCTTCGAACGGCAATATCCTTCATCACTTTTTGACGGGTTTCATTCATTTTCCTTTTGGTTCTTCTTACCTCGTGAATGTGAATTAGCTGTACAAATTGGCAATAGTTATATTCTAGGCTTACATACCTGTCATCGTGCTGATCAGATACCTAATGTCATCAATGGAAAGCAAATACTGTTGGGTGATCAGTGGATACATATTGTTTTAGCCAACATTGAATCATTAAATAGCTATCGCATATGGATCAATGGACAAGATTTGAAAAAATTCGATCTGAATCGAACGTGGAATAGACATACCAAGGGAAGTTCCTCTTACAATGCGATTTTGCTCAGTTGTAAACTAAACAATTATTCAGTACAATCACAGATCGAAGCTCGTATTGCCGATCTCGTTGCTTTCAAGCGATGCTTGTCGACAATGGAAATTCGAGCTATTTATCAACAACAAACATCTATCGATCAAGTTCAAATCGGTGCATATATTAAAAACAAGAAAATACACCACAGCAAGATCGATCATATTTAGGAATTTATTTATTCTTCAAGTGAATGAATTGTCTTATTGTGTTTTATATGTTCTCTCATTATAAGATATTGTTTCTGATATAATAGCAGAAGAATAAATAGAATATCTATAGTTCGAATTATTATCCAGTTGCATTCAAGAAGGAAGAATAGATGATCAAATATCTTGTAAAAAGATTACACAAAACTTGATCTTTACAATCCAATTAAATAATTACTCACCATAGTTTGAATTGATAGAAGTTTAATCATGAGAAACTTTGCCTAAATGTTCTTCCGAAGCTATTAAACGTCTTTCGGCTATTGATTAGATGAAATTCGATTTCAAATTCATGTGCTGATTTTTTAACCAGTATTAATCCTCAAACATTGCTCTAAAGTCCATGTAAATCCTGATCGTTTCACTTTAATATTGCACAATAGTGAATTGATGATTACAATCCTTTTCATCGGACATTTTCTTGTAAATAATTCTTCTTGACAAATATTCATTTCCAAAGTCGATCGTCGCTGAGAACTCAGTGTGATAAATTTGATAGAGAGAGAATAACGTATCAAGTAAAAATTTTTGATTTCATTCGTCTCTTTGTTTTTGAAGATAGTCGAACAATTAAATAGAAGATAACGACACCAATTAGTTGAAGAGTCAATTCGAATAGTGAACAAAAGAATTCTTCTCGAACAAGATCAAACTCGACAACATGACACATCTTTTTGAAATCAATTCGAAAACAAAAGAGATTCTTTGAGTTGCAATCATTCGAAATTCGATTGTCTCTCGAATGGAATTGATCAATTACGTTTTGTCTTATTCTACTCGATCAGATGTTCTTTTCACTTCTTCAAGTTCTATGTAAAAATTCATCATGTTCTCATTAGAGACTAAGAACTATGAAAACAAATCTCTTTAAGAATTCAATCGATCCATAATCAATGATCGAATCGTTCTCTACATTCAATATCAGATGATTGAGAACGTCTTCACCTTCAATAAGAGAATCCATTTCCGCGAGTTTGTTCCTTGTCGATCATTGAAAAAGAGTCGATTTTCGTTTCGATTCAAACAATTCTATTCTCACCAAATTAAGTGGAGGGTCTCAAATGATCATCAAATCTCTTGAAGAGCGTTTGTTACACTCGAGACAAACGCTTTGCCAGAAAATCCACAATTTTCAATCGAGAGCAATTCATTCAAAAGTCATCCACAATCAAATCAAAACCAGAATAGACTGGAATCGAATTTGAACTGACAAAGAAACAATTATCGAAAAATCTTACTCAATGCTTCTCTTTTTCTATTCGAGAATAAATGATAAAAATGTATCAACCATCCTATAAGATCATTCTACACCCATAATGAATCATTGACTTTATTCCGCTTGTCATCTTGTCATTTGATATTCAACACTTGAAGATTCTTCATTCAATCGACAAGATTGAGAATACTTTTTCGATTGTCAGCTCGAATATAAAGTACTTTAGTTTAGCGTTTTTCTGTTTGTTTGGGTAGGGCTCTCTTGATCAGTGGGAACGAATCCATCGTGTTTCACATTTTAATCGTGCAAGATCATGCCAAAAAGTTTTTTCTTCCTACAATTCTCATTTCAATATTTAAAATCATACATTATCATAGGAAAATACATTTCATGAGTCTTTTTAACTGATGTTTAAGCATTGTCTACTAAATCACGATTATGAAAATTAGTAACAGTTATAATAGACCCTCGTTTTTCTATATTTAACTATATTTTTGTGTACTACTTTTCAATTTTGTCTGTTTCATATCAAAAACTGCTATCAAGCATATCTCTGAAAAGTAAAAATTTTACATTTGTTTATACTAATGGTGCAGAAGTATATAAAAACACAAAGTAGACTATTTACTTCCAAATGAAATGTAACAATTTATATTTTTTTATAATTGATTAAGATGTGTAAAATGAATAAAAAAATAATTTAATTTTAATATCTAAATATTTTGTATCAAAATATTACTTTATTTGATTGCAAAAATTTAAACCTAAAGTAAATTTGAACTACGATGAAAAAAAATTATTTTTGATAATTTTAACGTATTCTTCATTTATTTTTGTAGTTAATAAGAATAGGTTTTATCTTTAAATACAAATTCATTACATGCAGTTTGGTAACGATCAAAAAAAAAAAAGTTTCTCGAAAAAAGAAAAATCTTTTTTATCAGTTTCACAATGAATAATAAAACAAATGCGTCATTGTTCATTGTTAGATTATAACTTTTTTTTTGATGCCCTAGACGTCGAACATAGAGCCATTGGCCAACAGAAATTTCAAAACATTTTAACCATTGATTAACGATGCTATACATTTCTTTAG